TCATAAAGCTATCTGTCATGAGGAATAGTTCTGTTTGGTCAAGAGGCCATGTCCGGACCTATTGACCTCTGGCGCCAAGGAGAGCACGCCCAGTTTCGCTGACTCTGTGCTTAAGCCAATTTGCCCAGGGACAGCCCCTACACCATGTCATCTCACATTTATCACTATAGTATATCCTGCTTTTTTCCATCTGTCTATGTTCCTCAGAACTGCTAGAACGATGGCCCTAAAAACAGTATACCTCATCCCTTCCTTAAATCCCTGCAGTGATTAGTAAATTTTATCTGTGAAGGGCCATATAATTTAGGCATTGCTGGTTATATATGGTCCTTGTTGCACATTGCATATACCTTTTTTTTTTCTTTTAAACAACACTTTAAAAATATAAGAAAGATTATTAGCTCATGAACCACACAAAATGCCTCAGGTTAGATTTGGCCCACAGGTTGTAGTTTGTCAGTCCCTAATACAATAATGAGTGTCCAAACTACTTTGCAGTGGTGCGAGTAATTCCTGACAGACTAAATCTAATCCATCCTTTGCACCTTACTGCCCTTTTTTTCTCTTGACTGGGAAGAAATTATTCTTCAAGCTCATGCTGTCCTCTCTGTGAATCCTTTTCTATCATATACATCTAAAGATCTAATTAATATCTCTGTGATCGCGTAGCACTCTTGTGTCACTTATCACAACAGCTGCGGTACTTTTATTGCATCTATTTGTTTCTTCACTTGGTTATAACCTTAAGTGCAAGCTTCAGGTCCTTTTCATATTTGTATGAAATATGCACCCTTACATAAATAAGGGTACCCCTACATAAATACATAATAATTGTTTGAATGAATTCCAGCCACATAATTAGCATATGTGCTGCTGAAGTGAGCACAACAAATCATTAGAATTTACTGTGTCATTAGGAGAAAAACCAGTGAGTATTAATATTAATTCACTTTCCATTGTGTGTAGGCAGTGTGTTTGGTGCTTGTTTGCAATACAAAGTAGTACAACCATCAGTTATGACTCTGTGAGGCACTGGAGCTTAAGAAATATCTAAGACTGGCAATCATGCCAGGGACAGTAATCGAAGCTTTCAAGGTAGATTAGATCTACAAGGGAAGAGGATAGAGGAAGAGTAGTAAAGAATGGGAAAGTAACAACATAATCAATAGTATTGAGAAATTATAATTCAGACATACAGAAAATGGTAGGCTATCACAGAAATCCAGGTGGGTGAGTTTAAAATAGTAACAGGGGTTGTCAACACCTGTCACTTGCTGCTAGCAAGTTGAAGAAAATAACTGAAAAAAGCCTTAGCAATTGGAAAGTTTTGGGTGACCTTTGAGTTGAAGTTTTAGGAGAGTAAAGTAGGGCTAAAATAAGATTCCAGGGGCTTTTGGAATTATATGGGTAAAAGCGGAGGTAGTGATACCTTTGAGCCTCCACAATAAAAGAAACTAGAGTATTGGTTGGTGGTGGGTGAGGTGAAAAGATGAGGAAATCTGTTGGAAGAAGCTTCTGGGAACAACTTGAAATATACTTAGAAGAGGTCATTAAAGAGTCATGGGCCAAGAAGAAATGAGTAGAATAAAACTTACAAGTGCAATTATTTTTGAAAAGGGTTTAGGATACTTATTCCTCTGATTTAGAAGGGAAAGAATGTGACTTCAAATGAAAAGAACAACTATTATGAAGAAAGAAACAGCCTAGCATGGAAGTTACTAACACATTAGCACACCTTATGTTTGTCCCATTCCTTAAGAATTTGTAAAGAGCTTTCATAAGTGTTAGTTTATTTGAGATGTCTGCAAGCATTCCGTTAGGCTATAGAAACTATGAAAATGAGTAAGAAAATGCCATCGTGTCCTCAAGGATCTCATAAATCTTTTAAAGATGAAGAAGTGACAAGGATAAAAATCATGATATAGGGCTGGGCATGGTGTCTCACTCCTGTAGTCCCAGCTACTTGGGAGGCTGAGATAGGAGGATCCCTTGAGCCCAGGAGTTTGAGACTGCAGGGAGCTATGATCACACCACTGCACTGTAGCCTGGGCAACTAAGCGAGATCCTATCTCTAAAATAAAAAATTTTTTAAGTCATAGTACAAAGCTTAGGATCACTTTAGCCCCCTTATGAGTTGAATAGTGGGAAGTAAATTAGACACCGGAAGAAAGCAAAGGACATTGTTGCCTGGGAAACTGGGATAACTATGGAAGATCAGGTTTCAGGAAAAGTGAGTGTGGTTCTGGGTACCTTGAATGTGAGATGTTACAGGAAGGAAGAGGTAAGATGAGTAATGGGCAGTTGTCGGTTCATCCATCCATTCATTCATTTTATCTAAACATTAGCAACAGTTACTAACATTGAGTATCTGTATACTAAACATTTGCTGCTGGAGACAAAATAATGCATGGTCTCTGATCCCAAAGAGGTCATTGACAAGTGAAGAGACAGATATTAAAAAAAAAAAAAAAAAACCTCTGCCTAGAGAGAGTCCTCAAAGTCTTTACAGATAACTGGGTTGAAATATGTGGTGAAGAAAAGAGAACTGCCATTGTTTACATGTTACTATATTCCAAGACCTTTACTAGGCCTTTTACACATTTAATCCCGGGATGTAGAGAATTATGTACTATGACTTACTAGTAAGTGATAGAGTCAAGACATTTAAACCAGGTCTGTCTGACTTCAAAACCAGGGCTCTTTCTACTGCTCCAGAATGCCATCTTTAGATTTTCATCAATGTGAGAAAAACATTAATGTTCTTTCTGGTTGGGTCATTGTTTCTCTTACCTGCTTGTTTGTCCTTTTTGGAGGCATTCTGGGATGTGAAAAAGCAGTTTCATTTACTAGCTGAGTAACCTTGAAAAACTGTATAACTTATCCTCAGTGTCATTCTCTATAAAAAGTCAACATAATAATTAGTATACCTGATTGGTTTAAGAATTAAGTAAAACAGTATGCCAAGCACCTGATACACGGTGGATAGTCAAGTTAATCCCTTCCTAAAGCTGTCAGGTTCTCTTTAATACCCATCAACCAAGAAAGCACGCAGAAAAGGGATTCTATTCACTCAGGCCCTTTCTTTGTCCTGGAGGCCTCGGTTCTAATTGTTTCATTCTAGCAAAATAAGTTTTTCATGTGCTTCAGCCCCACTCCATTGACCTGCCTTGTTTGCCTTGGTCTCCTCAGACAGTGTAGTTGATTCAGTGTTTCAGCTACACTGTGCTGCCATCAAAGTTGGAGCCATGGCCAGAGGGACAGAATAGGTCCAGACCCCGGAAGGCTGAGAAGAAACAGAACCTGTGGACTAAACCAAAATTGTGTAGCCATTTACAATATCCACCCTGGCATGGAACTAGCCTCTTGCCATTGAAGTTCCCAAAAAAGAGTATTTTTCTGATACAATTTGTGGAATATCAGGGTTACATCAGAAGTTAACAAACACACTATAAAAGAAAACATTTTGAGGTCAAATAAGTTTAGAAAATGCTGTGTATTTGCCTCTCAAATTCTTATGTGCAGTTAAATGCTTTGAGAAATAGCACAATAAAGAAACCGTTGAACTTTGGTCACCATAGCACCTCCCAGGCTTATTGAAATAGAGCTCTCTTTTTGAGAAATACCTATTAACATCCCACGGCTCTTGTTTCCCATCTGCCTTTTTCTGAAAGAGCCTAATCTCAGAAAAAGGTTGCCTACCGCCCAGACAGATTGAGACAGGTAAGCTCTGGAAACTTACGTTCCCACATAACATTCCACTCTTGCTTTATGAGTTTATAAGCTGAGCTTCTGTTTGCCTGCTTGTTCTAACTGATTTGTTCTTTCATCCCTTATAGCCCAATGCATGGAAAGCTAACAGAATGGAACACAAATCGGGATCCCTTTCCTCTAGCCGGGAGTGCGCTTTTACCAGTCCAATCTCTGTTACCAAACCAGTGGTACTGGTTGGTGGTGCAGTTCTGAGTTCTCCCAAAGAGGTGAGTGAGGGTAAGCAGGGCGGCCTTGCCGTTTCCCATTTACTTATATTAAATATACAGTGTAACATGTATAGCTATAACACTGTTTCTTTCGTAGCTGTGCCTAGCTGAGTCATTTATTAATGGTTTCCTTTATCATCCACAAGTGGGCAGTGGCTGGGTGGGGTAAATGCTTTGTGGTAGGCCAAGGTTGTCTTGTGTTAGACTGGCATTCTGCTGTTGTCCGTAGAAAGAGCAAAGAGGTGCCATATGAGCCAGCCAGTCTTAACTGTAAAAACTCTGCAAAACTGAAGTCTGTTTAAATAAAAGGGTTGTTTGATAAAAGACAGTGACAAATAGACTACCAATTTCTCAAAATCAGTGCCATTTAGAAGTGACCCAGAGAATCCCAGTTCTTGCTCTTTGCTGTCAGGAGCAACCTATTTGTGGTATTTGCCCAGAGTCCCTCCAGCATCACCCCTCCAGTTGAGATCAGCTCCTCTCGTCTGACCAAGTTGACCCGCCGAACCGCTGACAGGAAGAGTGAGTTCCTGAAGACTCTAAAGGATGACCGGAATGGAGAATTCTCAGAAAACAGAGACTGTGACAAGCTGGAGGATGTAAGAGCATAGGGTTTTTCTGGGGAAGCATAGGAGTTTTCCTTTGTTATTTATGTGCTTTCTTCTTCTTCTTCAAGGATAAAAATGTAGCAAGATTTTAAATGTACAGAGATACTGTGTGTCGGAATAATAGCCTTATAGAGCCTGTGGTAAAGTGAATTTAATTCTTTGTTCAGCAGAGATCTTATATTAGGGTTGGTTGGTTGGTTGATTGATTGGCTATTCGCCTACTAAAAGACATCTTGGTGCTTCCACGTGTTGACAATTATGAATACAACTGCTGTAAACGTCCACATGCAGGTTTTTGTGTTGGCATATATTGTCAACTTCCTTGGGTAAATACCAAGGAGCACAATTGCTAGATCATACGGTAAGAGCATGTTTAGTTTGTTAAAAAACCACCAAAGTGTCTTCCAAAGTGGCTCTACCATTTTGCATTCCCACCAGCAATGAATGAGAGAGTTCCTGTTGTTCCACATCCTGAACCAGCATTTGATATTATTAGTGTTCTAGATTTTGGCCCCCATGATAGGCATGTAATTTTAATTTGCATTTCCCTGATGACATACAATGTGAAGCATCCATCTATCTTTGGTGATATGTCTGTTTTTTAATCAGGTTGTATCTTTTTTTTATTTAGAGACTACTTCATTAGTTTCTTTAATCAAAGCCATATAGATAAGACCTTACATATTTAATACAGTGCATTACCCCTGTACAAACGGGGTTTGCTTCCTTATTGTTGAGTTTTAAGGGTTCTTTGTATAACTTGGATAACAGTCCTTTATCAGATATGTCTTTTGTAAATATTTTCTCCCAGTCTGTGGCTTGTCTTTTCATTCTCTTGACAGAGTCATTTGCAAAGCAGAAATTTTTAATTTTAATGAAGTCCAGCTTAACAGTTACTTCTTTCATGGATTGTGCCTTTGCTGTTGTATCTTAAAAAGTCATTGCCATACCCAAGTTTATCTACATTTTTCCTGTGTTATCTTTAGGAGTTTTATATTTTCGCATTTTATATTAAGGTCTGTGGCCCATTTTGAGTTAATTTTTGTGAAGGGTGTAAGATCTATGTTTATATTGATTTTTTTTTTTTTTTTTTACGAGTGCAGCCGTCCCATTACTTTTGTTGAAAAGAATCTCTTTTCTCCATTGTATGGCCTTTGCTCCTTTGTCAGAGATCAGTTGACTGTGGGTCTATTTCTGGCTTTTCTATTCTGTTCCATTGAACTATTTGTCTATTCCTTTTGCCAATACCACACCCTTTTTTTGCACACATCTTGTGAGCACTTCTTACACTGTTTTAATTATTCTAACTTTTTGCAGTAAATCTTAATGTTGGGTAGTATCAGTCCTCTGACTTTATTCTTCTCCTTCATTATTGTGTTAGCTATTCTGGGTCTTTTGCTTCTCCATATAAACTTTAGAATTGGTTTGTTGTTGATAGAGCGGGTCCTCATTTGTAAGTGGGGGAAACCTATGGGCTGAGGCTATCTTCTAGAAAGCATTTCCTGACTCCTTGATTGTGTAGGTTGCTTATCTTGTCACAAAGAAACATTGTAGCAAGTATGTCCTTCTTTTTCCTTGTTGTAGTTGGAGGACGACAGCACACCTGAACCAAAGGAAAACGGAGAGGAAGGCTGTCATCAGAATGGTCTTGCTCTCCCCATAGTGGAAGAAGGGGAGGTTCTCTCACACTCTTTGGAAGCAGAGCACAGGTAAGTGAGGAGCAGATCACAGGGCATGTCGTATATGGCCTGTAAGGACCTCAAACTTACTTAAGAAGACATCTCAGGTAGAGTGAGGCATACAGAGAGAAGTGCCCTTGAGCATCATAATTGTTCTCTCTGTAGGCCCCCAGGTCGGCCTGTTGCCCACCAGGCATTCTCTCACAGACTCAGCTAGCATTTTCACAGTCTCCTCTCCAAGGCTTTCATATATTTTAATTTCAGACTCAGTTTATGGCTGTAGTCAGAGAAGTGGAGAAGACGGAAACCTGTTTACTGGGACTATTGTGTTAGCTCCTTAGACCCTCCTGTCCCAAGTGAGCAGTTACCATAAGACGCTTTTAAGGGGCCTTGGGAAGCGTGAGACCCCCATGCATAAAACGTGTTTTTTAAATAGGGCCCTGAGCACATAACAGCCATCTGTCTGAGCAACTGGATCGCAGGTCAGGCCTGCCAAGTATAGCAGTACCTTTCTAAAGGAGATTCCTGTCCAGAGGAACTTTAGAGGTCAGCAAGGTTATAAGAGAGTCCAGGATGCCATGAAATTGAAAGAGAATTTAGGTACATGTGCAAATATGCTAATCTGCTCACAAGGAACCAGAAAAAGTGAGATTTCTTCCTCTCTTTTGGTCTGTGAGACAGAGAGCCCTTGCAGTTCGACTCTCTTCTTCATGCTATCTTGGTTTCTGCTTCTACTGCCTGTTCTGTAGTTACTCTCTCAACTGTGGAGAGCGTCCATTTAATTACAAGCGCCAGAGTAGCCATAATTAAAGCTCGTCTCACTAGAAAGAAAACAAAGTTCCTTTAGCATCCATTTCCCAGCGCAGGAAAGTTTTCTGTGGAAAGTGGTGGGTAGCCCACTTAGGCTTAATGGTGTCATATTTTCTTTGCCTGTCCTTCTGCCTCCGCCAGGTTATTGAAAGCAATGGGGTGGCAGGAATATCCTGAAAATGATGAGAATTGCCTTCCCCTCACAGAGGATGAGCTCAAAGAATTCCACATGAAGACAGAGCAGGTATGTCAGAAACCTCTCCCGGAGACCTGTTAATGACTACAAGAATAAGGAGTCAGGACAGCCCTTTCCCTTAGGGAGCCCTAATTTAATGTTAGAGAAAGACTTTGAAAAAGAAAATATAAAATAAATTACCATAGTAGAAATGTAGTGGGGCATCTATCTCTGCCTGGACAATAGGGATCTCCAGTGGTGAATACAAAGCCCAGGTCAGTGATTAGCAGACTCCAGAGAATAGTATGTCCTTTCATCCTCACAGTTCTAATCCCGTTTCAGAACCACAAGGCTGTGTTTCAGAGTTACCGTCTGAGGTCTTGGTCTTTAGGGAAGCAGGATCACCTTCCTCTGCTTCCTGCCCTGTATCGTAGTTTCCTTCTGGTGCTCTGGCCCGAGATAAGAAGCCAAACAGCTTATGTCAGTTTATTCAACAAATGCTTCTTTTCTCTGAATAAAAACACTGCTGGATCCTAGGATGATCAGGACAAATGGGTTTCTACAAACCTCCTTGAACTTAACATTCTGGGGGCATATATATAAAGCATAAATTACAACTGGATAAATCCTAAAAAGGAACAAGGTACATACAGTCTGATATAAGAAATACAGAATCTCAAACCCTATCCCAGACATACTGAATCTGCATTTTTTAAAAATCCTTACATGATTCATTTGTACATTAAAGTTTGGAAAGCACTGCTGTAATAGAGGATCCAGAAGGACCCCCTACACACAAACACACACACACACACACACATATTCTACCCAGGATTAAATTGAGGCCTGGCCTTTCCCAGGGCCCACGGGTCAGTGCAGTCATTGATGGTTTTTCATTTTTCTTTCTCTCCCATGCTAACCACAGCTGAGAAGAAATGGCTTTGGAAAGAATGGCTTCTTGCAGAGCCGCAATTCCAGCCTGTTCTCCCCTTGGAGAAGCACTTGTAAAGCAGAGTTTGAGGACTCAGACACGGAAACCAGTAGCAGTGAAACATCAGATGACGATGCCTGGAAGTAGGCGTATAAATGCTCACAGTTAAATCTGACCCAGTAAACTCTGTTTAGGGAGTATACAAAAGAAATTGTTCTTTTCTTTTTCTTATGTTGTTGAATACTTCATGCACAAGGAAAATAATCATATCCCAAAGAGAAAGCGATTGGCTTGTTTAGCTTTTGTTGTTCTTCCCTGTTACCTGCTTAATAGAGAAGTTCGTGTGGTGGGAAAGATTTTTAAAATACACACACACACACATACACAGTACATACGGGGCGATGCACAAGTAGGAGCTGGCAATGCAGAGAGGAGACACTGGTCTGCAGCAACAGCTTCTACTACCAGCCCTTCGGGCACTCACCCCTGTGCTCAAGCAATCATTGTCAATGACAAAGTGACTATTGAAGTTATAATTGTATTAAATTAATGCTAATAATTTGGATATTTTATTTTATTTTTGGCTGCTCGGGTAACTTTAGCCCTTAACCCAGCATATGTGGTTTTTTGTTTTGTTTTGTTTTGTTTTCCTTTTTGGGTACAGCTGTAAAATATTTGGATATAAGAAATGTGTTATTCTTGCAGCCTTGATATTCAGGGTGGATTGTAAAATATAAATTTTTGTGAGATTTCAAAGATTAAGATTATTTTGATAACATTATTTACAGATTTAAAAGATGTGGTTATCACAGGTCTGTTGAGGGGGGAAACTACTGCATAAAATAACTAACTTGGAATAAATATTTTGCATCAGTTTGGATTGTCTTGTGTAAGAAGTATATTTTCTTTTTTTTTTTTAAGTTTTATGTATAACTGGATTCGCAAATAGTTTCACATTTTTTCAACTTGAAAGGTAATTTTAAACTATGTTACTGTCTTGCAAGTTGTCCCAGGAATTAGGAACATGATTACAACCACATTAATTTCTAAAGAAAGAAAAAGTAGGACTATCAAATTGTAACAACTTAAAAAATTTCATAGGCTCAAAAGGTAATTGTTACCCTTAAGAAAGAAAGAAACCTTAACCGACAAAGAACTTGGACATGCGAGAGAAGACTCACAGTTAATTCATACTGATTTATTCATTGTTCTTGCACATTAAAAGTAGTTTAGTAATCTTGTTTGTTCTCCACTTACAAAGAATGGGAAAGAAATTGGCCAATATTTGCCTTCTAGGTTTTATCTCCATCTGGAGTTTTCAGTAGTAAGCACATTAAGTACAAGTCTGTTTCCTAAACAAGTGCAAGTCTGGCTTGTTCAAAGTAAGACTAGAAGAAGTCAGGTTTCTAAGGCAGTCCATCAGTGTGGGCCTGAACCTCCCCAAGGCCATCTTTCCTAAGATTGTCAGGTACAACACAAATGCCTGAGCTGATGGCTAACACCAAACATGCAAGAAGTTAGGTTAAAGGAATAGTTTTCACAGTCAGCTACATCATTACAATTGCCACATTAATGTGATCTTTAGGTACCTGCAATGTTTAAAGGCTTTAATAATATAATAGTTTTAACACCAAAATTCACCAGAATTACTAGCAGCGTTGTTTTAGACAACATGTAGAATTTCCTCTTATTAAATATACATCTCAGTGATTAGGAGAGCTTTCTATGTAAAAGAATTCACCTCAAAACTATGCAAATATTTTAAAAGCTCTTTTTAAAAGCTCATGGTACTTCAGTATGTGTTTTCAAAGCTTAATACAGTTTTAAAATGACACCGTGAAGATTTTATGTGGAATGAAATGTTAACTATTCTGTGTTCTAAAAATTGACTGTCATACTACAAAGACCCAGAGTAAAATATCAAGGAAATGCTCAGCCTCACATCTAGTGCCAAATTTTCATTCACACATCTTCAGGTGCTAAATTGGCATAGGCAAAGTACCTTTCTTATCTCTCATAAAGAACTTAGCACACATCCTTCTAATAGATTCCTGTCTCTGCAGGATGGAGAAGATTCCACTCATTTGATGGAAACCAATGTTTTTTAAAACCATTTTTCTACTCCAAAAACAAACTTGCTAAAGAGAAGGAGCACTATTTACATATATTTGTGCTTATCCACGCACCACCATTCTCTCACATTAAGGTGTAGATAGATCTACTGGCTAGGAATCAAAGAGTAAAGTATTTCAACCTAAAGTCTGAATATTGTACATCATCAAGACTTCATTATTGTTCTGTAGAAGAAAAGAAAAAGTAGGGAAAGTGGGGGTGGGCAACATGTCTAATCTTAATGGTCCCCATCCCAGTGGGCCAAAAGATCACAATTTGCTAAATGCAATTTCAGATTATAAATTCTAAATGTCGCTGCCAGCTATTACTGTGAAAAGGCAAAAGTCCACAGTGGGCATATACCAAAAGGCCAGAGTATAACAAGTGACTGAGTCCACATTATGTGTTCTTAAAAAAAAATCTTGACTGGTCCGATGGTAGTGGGTTATCAGAACTTATTAACATTAGTGTCACTAAAGTTGGTATTCAATCCCCTACTGCTAAATTTGATTGGCTAAAAATAAAAAACAAAAATCTTGCAATGAAAATTCTGATAGTCTTTGACTCAAAAGAAACTTTACTACTCTACACACATACTGCGTTGGAGCTTCATATATTGGAACGTATTTGAGCTATTAAGTAATAAGTGCCTAGATGACAATTTAAAAGGGAAAAAATGACCCTCACCTGGCCCAAGTAATTCTTAAATATCACAATCTACATGAAGGTGATGCTGAACTAAAATACAAATAAGTTTAATTTTTTGGGAACTACCAAAGTTCTAGTTTCATTATACATGGAATTAAAAGTATTGTTGGAACTCATTTTCAACTTAGTCTTTAACAAAGAAAACTGCACATAAGGAAAATGACTTTTATGCTGTCAGATGGAATCATCTTACAGCTATGGAATCGGAAAAGTTAATCAGAATAGAATGAAAATGGGCTCCACCTAAACTTGAGAATACTGAATTGTAAGCATCTGTAGCCATTTAAAGGCATTTGGTGTATTTTAAAAGATTAAGATGCTTTAAACCCTTATAAGAATATCAAAGATTTAGGGAATTATCTTCATAAATAACCCAATGTCTATGGCTTCAACTGTCTGCCCTACTGCTGAGGTAGGTGACCAATAATTCATCAAAATAAAACAATCTTTCAGGAATTCTCTAAGAAAAACCTTGCATATTCAGTTGGTTTCTTGAATCTGTGGTCCAGTTTCTTTTGATGGTTTTCGTCTTGTTTTGATTTTCCTTTCTGTCACTTACACTTTTTAAGAGGCTGTCCACGTGACTGTTTCTTTACGCTCTGGCCGAATAGCACCTCATGTATTCTGTCATCCACGGGTTCTCCGAGGAGGAAGACTTCATCTTTCTGTTGTTCACATCCACAGAGTGAGCACGTTGCCTCTGAGCAACCAGTTTCTTTTTTTCCACCTGTCTTCTGTTCTTGGCTCGTAATGCTGATTCATGAATCTCATGCACAGCGGCAGACGCACACACGTTGTGAGTTTTTTGGCTTCCTGTGTCGGTCTGTTTTTCTCCCCAGCCATAAAGAGCAAATGGATGCTTGTTTTCTTTTATTTTGCTTGATGATCTTTGGGGACTTCTGGCCGCTTCCCTATTTCCTCTGGCGACTAAGGCACTTCGTTGTTGTCGTGCTTCGATACCGGCGGGTAATATATCGGTCTCTTTTGTTCTGATTTGTTCAGGTTTTTCTTCTACATCATCTTTCACTGGCAGCGCAGGCAGAGCCGCGTCCTCCGCGTCCCCGGCCTCTGCGCGCTGCTCCTCCGGGGACCCGCGCACCCCCCGTTCCGTCTCCTCCTGCTCCGCGGGCGAGGCCGGGGCGCACCGGGGCGCTGGGCCCCCGCTGCCAGACGACTCGGACGACGCTGAGTCGTCCGAGGAGCTGCCCGGGCCCCAGTCGTCCCAGAGCCAGGGCGCATGCGCCTGCTCCAGCAGTCGGCGGCCCAGGCGGTAGTGCAGCAGCTCGCGGTAGCACGGCCCGTACTCGTCCCAGCGCGGCTCCTGATAGCGCTTCATGTACTCGCTCTTCACCCCGCTCCCCGGGGACATGATGCCGCCCGCAGGCCCGAGTGCCCGCCGCTCCGCGCCCCGCCGCGCCGCCGCCCACGGGACCTGGGACACGACACAGAGGCCCGCCCCCGAAGACCGCCCCGCCCCGCAGGCCCGCCCCGCCCGCCGTGACGTTTTCAGAAAGTATATTTTCGAAATTAGATGAATGGATTATTTTTTAGGAGAAATATTTTTAGAAGCCTGGGGGAAATGTGAATTCAGACACACATACCTGTTTCTCCTTTTAGCAGGTAATTTTTTGATGCAGAAAAACCTGTGCAATAAATCGTAATAAAGTCAGAAACCAAATTTTACTTCCTGAAACATTTTCAGTGCCCATGTTTTTACCAACGTACATATTTTAAGGAAAGTCTCTTCCTTGGTTTTCCTCCTAAATGAGAACTTGGTAAAAGACTTGACCCAGTGTTGGCTGGGTGGCCAGTGGAGGAAGTAGGGTGTTTTCATTCAACAAATACTTTCTGGCGGGGCGCGGTGGCTCACGCCTGTAATCCTAGCTCTCTGGGAGGCCGAGGCGGGCGGATTGTTTGAGCTCAGGAGTTCGAGACAAGCCTGAGCAAGAGCGAGACCCCCGTCTCTACTAAAATTAGAAAGAAATTAATTGGACAACTAAAAATATATAGAAAAACTTAGCCGGGCATGGTGGCGCATGCCTGTAGTCCCAGCTATTCGGGAGGCTGAGGCAGGAGGATCGCTTGAGCCCAGGAGTTTGAGGTTGCAGTGAGCTAGGCTGACGCCATGGCACTCTAGCCCGGGCAACACAGTGAGACTCTGTCTCAAAAAAAAAAAAAAATACTTTCTAAGCCCCTGCTGTATATCCTAGGCATGTGTAAGGCTCTGGGGATCCAAGGAGTGCCCAACACAGTAGGGGAGAGAACAAACAATTATTTTAGAAAAGATGAAACCTTAGGCCAAGATCTGATAGACAAGTAGAAGTTAAACATCTGGCACTGGCATTCTTTGGCTGTCCCTATAGTAATTAGTCCCTAATGGATATAGAGGGCCAAGATCATACTCTAATGGGAGACAGAGGAAAAATAAGCCTAATTTCATGCTAGGAAGATAACTAGCCGATAGTGTGAACCAGAGGGAATAAATAGAGGTAAGAGGCAGAGAGACCAGCAGGATATCTGCTAGATTCTAAGGCCAGAAAGGCAGGGAGCCTGCCTGCCATACTGTATTATAGTCCCTATTACTAGTAGGAGGAGCAATCCATGTGCAAACAGTTGTGACAGAGCAGTAAGAACCATTAACATATTCCACTGAAAGTAAGATGGCATCTATTTTAAGACATTGTTATGTACTAAGACAAAACTTGCCAGTTAAATCATGACACTAATTGTGGATCCTTCTACAGCTGAAAAAACAGGAATGAGGGAATGAGACTTAGGGAAAGACCACTATCCCCAGTGTGATTTGATCATGCAAAAGCTGTGGATGCTTCCAGAGACGCATGTTGCTAGGAAGAGCTTTTCAGTCAGGAGAAAGACATGACTTCCAAGCAGAATGGCGAAAAGGGCAGATTGCCTCCTCTCCCAGGTGTTCTCTGGAACATACTCTACTAAATGACCAATGATAGAGTAAGTGGTAAGGGCCCAGCTAGTCTAGGAAGCAGCTGTTTTTGCCTTTTTATTAATAAATACAGGCAGAGAAACCAAGACGCAGTGTTAACAGATTTGCCCAAGTTTATGCAATGAGTTAGTACAGACTTTGTGACACTTTTTCAAGCCAGTGGCTCCTCCCAAAGGTGGCCAAAGTTTCCCCACCCATTTTCCTGACCTGCCCAGGCCTGTGGTTGCTGCCCAGGGAGCTAAGTAAGGCTCCTCCCCAAACATAAACTTGAAGCTCTCCTAGACCTAATAGACCTGGCCTTATCGCTCTGTCCCTTTTTCTGCAGGTCTCGGCTGCTGTCTGGAAACAGCTCCCATCCCATGGACTCCTACTCCGGAGAACCAAGACTCCTGCCCTGTGAGACCTGTGACATGGCTTTCCGCTCCTCGGCCCTGCTAGCCACCCACACTCAGCGCTTCTGCATTGGCCGCGTGACCCAGGAGATGACATTTGGAGCACAGCCCTCAGTAGCGACTGAACCACAGGGTGCCGCGGTAAGGGTCTCCTCCGTGGCCACGGGTGGGTGTACAAGTGAGCCAGATCCTCACGATTCCTCATCCTACGCCCTGTCCCCAGGTTGTGCCACAAGAACTCCAGGGCTTCCAAGAACAACAGGCCAGTAAATCTGCGCTAAAGAGGTTAACAGAGGAGGTACACCCACCTGCCTCTCCCCGCGGCTCAAAAAGTCCCCAAACCTGTAGATCGTACATGGGACACATAGAGATCGCAGACCACTGCTACCTCCAGGTGCAGTGGCTGCGGCTGTCCTTACAGGAAATGCGACCCCGGAAAACAGACGCCCCCAGGGGGTCCGCAGCGCTCTGGAGACGTTCAGAGGAGCCGCCTCAGGGCCCCACCTGCGAGGCTGCAGGGAGCCCGGGCGAGCGGCTGCGGGCGCTGCAGGCGACTCGCGCAAGGCGCGTAGCGGAGACGGAAGCACAGAGCCGGGCCCTGGAGCGACGCGGCGAGGGTGAAGGGGGGACTGAACTGAGGACCTGCCCTGCCCCTCGCCCTTTGGCTCGAGGTTGCTCGGACCCGTTCTGACTCGGTGCCACACTCCCTCAGAACTGAGCCGGTGCCTCCAAGGTGTAGTCCGGACGCGGGGCGGGATATCCCGCCTGTTCGGCTTGGAGCGGGAGCTTCGAGAACTCCGGGCAGAGGCAGGACGGACGCGGGGAGCTCTAGAGGTCTTAGGAGCGCGCGTTCAAGAGCTACAGCCAGAGCTAGGGTGAGACCCGGCGGCAGCCGCACTGGGAACGCGAGGCCAGAACTGAAGCGGAGGCGGGGCCGGGAACCGGGGGCGGGGCCTGGGGTGGGGCGGGGCCCGCGAGGCGGGCGGGAGGGCTCAGGCCCAGGCGCAGCTGGACGATCCGGCGTGCGAGGGCGGGAAGGAGCGGGGTGGCTGTAGGTCCGGGATTAAGGTCCGTGATAGTGTCTCCCTGCGCGTCGGTCCCCACCCCAGGACCCGACTGAACTCCCGGCAGGAGGCAGAACTCTGTTGTCCGGTGCTACAGGCCAAACCAGGGACTCTGGCTGCCGAAATTGGGTGAGGGCTGGGATCCGGAGACGGGCGTGGGGCGAAGCACTGCTGAGTCCTGGAAAGACTGCCTTGCTGTCCCCCGCTCCTAGGGCCCTGCGCGAGGCCTATATTCGAGGCGGGGGTCGGGACCCGGGTGTTCTGGGCCAGATGTGGCAGTTGCAAGTGGAGGCATCAGCACTGGAGCTGCAACGGTCGCGGACCCGCAGGGGTGAACTGAGGGGCCTCAGCATCAGTGGTCTTAGTCCTGGGAGGAGAAAAGAATGTGAGGGAGGGCGTCATTGGCATGGGCAAAAGCCCCGAGGTAGGAAATCTGGGTGATCTTTGTGACAGTGACTAAAATGTGAGCTGACAAGTCCAGTCTTGTCGCTCTAACGCTGGAGAGCTGCTCACAGCCGGAGTCGGACCAGAGGTCAAAGGTGACAGGTCAGACTTGTTTATGGCAGGAAGGGCAGGAGCCAAATCAGAGGAGCTTCTAGTAGTGGAGGCCGAGAACCAGCGCCTGGAGGCAGAAATCCTGGCCTTGCAGATGCAGAGGGGCCCGGGCCGGGCGCCCTGGGGTCAGTAAGCACCCCAACCCCATCCCACCTAGCCCTTTCCAGCAGACCTGGGCTCAGGGAGAGGGTGGAGGGACCGTGCGTAGGGAATGAGGCTCGTGTTTGTGCCCCCTCCATTCGTGTCCACCGCATCTCCGTGTGTCTGTGTGTGTCCCTGTAACCCCGTGACTCCGCGGACCCATTTGTAGGCTTGACTCTCGGGGAAAGGGTGTCTCAGGCCTAGATACCTGCTTTCTCCAATTCAGGGGAGCCCTAACTCTTCCTCTACTCCTAGGGCCGGGGGAGTCGCGACCCCTGGCGGGTCCCAGCCTACAACTGAAGGGGAGGAGAGATCCCCCACTCCTCCCACCGCCAGTGGCGCCCCCGCTGCCACCACTTCCAGGCTCCACAGACCTTCAGTTCTTGCGTGGCTTGGCTGTGAGGACCGGGAATGGGGCAGGGGCAGCTCTGCTCTGAGCAGTTGGGGGAGCGTGGGCAGCTAGAAGGATTTCTGGAGGAGTCAACTCTCTCGCCCACAGTCACAGCTTCCTGGAACAATGACCAGGAACCTGGGCCTGAACCCACATTTCCTCCTGCCCACATCTGACGTGCGGGGCCCTGCACCCTACGACCCTGGGTGAGGTCTGCCCCCTCCTTTGACATCCTCTATGACTGGGCCAATGCTAGGGCCAGATAGATTGGGAACTGGCAGACGGGAGGGAAGGTGAGAAGAGTTGGGTGTTCGTGTGCTTAGACTTGTGTTCCCCAGGGCTGGCCTGGTCATTTTCTATGACTTCCTGCGGGGCCTTGAGTCTTCTTGGACTTGGGTGCAGCTAATGACTGGCTTGGCACGAGACGGCCAGGATACAGGAGGGACCACAGCATTGCCCCCAGCCCTTTGCTTGCCCCCACCTCCAGCTCCTGGGCCCATGGGCAACTGTGCCATCCTTGCCAGCAGGCAGCCTGTGCCCAGGTCAGTAGGTGGGGATCATGACTCTGATACTCTGCCACAATTTAGGCTTGTCCCTCTTTCAGTTAAGTTTTCTCATCTGTATACAGAAGTCCTTGGCTCTGAGGGCTGAGTCCTAGAAGGGTCTGCAGCTCTGGCTTCTGACACTGCTTTTTGGTTATTCTGCAGACTGCTACCCTCACCACCAGTATCCTTGGTCTGCGAGCTACAGGCCTGGCAGGGACTGGCATGGGCTAGGGCACCACAGCCAAAGGCTTGGGCTTCACTTGTGTTATTTGACCGAGATCAGCGGGTGCTAAGTGGCCGCTGGCGCCTCCCGCTTCGGACCCGTCCTCTGGACCCTAGCCTTAGCCTTCGACAGATGAATGGGATTCCCCAGGTGAGTGTGGAGGGTGGGGACTGGGCATACTCCAAGGGACAGAGGCTGTACCATTTCTCCTCCCCCCAGGCAGGTCAGGCTGAGCTTTTCCTGCGGCTGGTGAATGCAAGAGATGCAGTTGTCCAGACACTGGCAGAGATCAATCCAGCAAGTGCCCATGAGTACCACTACCCACCTCTGGTAAGGGTCCAACTAGAGCTAGGGACACCATAGGTGTGGCTGGTGTAGTTAATGGCCAGCCTTTATTGTCCACTATGTGCCAGTCTTTCTGGGTATTACTTACTTGATCCTCACATCTCTGTTCTGTAGATATTAATCTACTATGTAACAGATAACGAAATCAAACCAAGACCAGATTAATTTGGTTCACACTAAGTGGGATGGGACTCTAAAGTAGCCTATCTCCAAAACCTGTGCACTTAACCTCTACATTTTTGCTAAAGACCTCCCTTCGCATTCCACAGGTGTCCAGCTCATCTTCACTGGGTGCCAACTCCCTCACCCCCACAGCTGGCTTTGCTGATCCCCCACCTCCAGCAGAAGTCTCTCGGTGGAGTCAAGGATAGAGACAAGGCTTTGGGACCTCACCTCAGCTTTAACCCGCCCCCAATGAGTTTCTGAACCCAGGTGAATGTGGGTATGAGCATGCACAGGACTAGAGCCTGGCATGGAGACCTATTCCCAGACCTGCAGCTTTACTACCGTGTTCTGACACAGCATGGAAGCAAAAAGCAGCTATGGGTGCAAAACAGAAGCTCCAACCACAGCCTTACCACTTCATAAGTACTTGCTGTACCTGTTCTGCTTTTGTAAAACAGAAGTGAGAATTAAATGGATATGTCAGGTATTTAGAATATGGCACTTACAAAGTTCTCTGAAAGTGACTGGGGGCATCCTTTAATTCCTAATTCCAACTAAAGGATAAAGTAATTCCCACTTGGCCTTTTGCTAAAGGCAATTTTATTCCCAGACTTCATCCAAATTCCTGTTTGCTGAGTACCTCTCCCAGGAAACCCAGGCTCTCAAGGTTCCCTAACCAGGAAGCTCCTGTAGCCTTATATGTAATCTAAATAGATTACACACACACACACACACACATATAATCTAAATCTAAATCGATTCCAGGATAGAGCTGCAGCCTAATGATGTTCCTCTCTCCACCCCACAAGCAGGGGGTCCCATGTGAGATCTAGCTGAAATTAGATACTGAGCCTAGCCCCAGATCCCACTGTCAACCAAAGGATGTCAAGACTCATGACTCTCCTGACCAACAAAGAGGGGGGGAAAAAAAGCCTCAGGACCTGGAACATGCACTGCAAAGGCATCATTAGGAAGAAAGTTCAAAGCCAGGATAAGCCAGAGATTTCTGCAGCCATGAGACACTATGACCAGCTGAGAAAAACTCCAGTTTTTACTACTCTTGTATTATTTATTTTGGGGGGGAAAAAAAAAAAACTCTGGAAAA